CAGTGGCAGGGCTTGGAGCTGACAGTGTGACTGTCAAACGAATCACTATACTCTTTCCTTCCCCTCTTTGCAAGGGGGATGCCAAAAACCTCCCATTACAATTAGCCCACACAGGCATTTCAGATTGGATTCGGTCAACAGTCTTGCTTCCTGCCCCAAGATGGCTGGGGATTCAGGGAGGAAAAGAGTCTAGGTTAATTATGAAAGAGGTTGCTGTCTTTCTTCTAAGCATTTGGAGAGGCTTAATGTAACTGAGAAGACAAACTGGAGCCAGCGTACCCGAGCTGGAAGGGGGAGGAAGGTATGCCAGTGCTTCCCCGGCGTCACCTGCTCCCACAGCACTTGTGCAGAGAACAGGTGCCGAGATCGGTGCGCCTGTTGTTCACATCTACAGTTCTGACGGGGTATTTATTCATTTACTCCTGAACCGTCATAGCAGACAAGCCTGTATCAGTTACCAGACCCAAAAGCACGGCCGGAGCTCACAAATCCCTTCACCTTTCACCAGAGCAGGCAGGACAATGACACCGATACGCACAGTACAGTCGGGAAGTCCACAGTCCGAGCCCAGCCCACCCCTGGGGAACAAGGCAGCCCACAAAGCACTGCCAGGCTGACAAAGCGCCGGCAGGGGCCGGGCCAGGGCAGCACTGCTGCTTCGGGGCTCGAGCAAACGAGGGGCGCACCGAGTCTGGGTGCTGGACCACAGCAGCCTGCTACATCCAGAGGCTCACAGTACACAAAAGCAGTGGGGTCGGAACAAGAGACTTGGATGCCCCAAGAAGCACAAGCCTGGAGAAGCGAGAGCACAAAACCCACTCTCCCCAGTCAGCCTCCCACAAGCACAGAGCTAGGCACAAGGGGAGCACAGTTTTTAAGTTTATTCCTTGTTCACCCAGCCTGGAATGAGAGCCTGGGAAGCACCAGCTCCCCCCTTTCCTATAAGGCCAGTGAAGCTGACTCCCTGATGAGAGATAATTTATTCTAGTCCTATAAAAACAAACAAAAAAATCCCGATCTAGCAGGACCTCCTGTTTAGAGCAGGCCATGAAATGCCAACAGTTAAAACTCTGGTCAAAACAAAAAGCCTCATTCTGCTACAATTTATGTACCACACAGCAATTCTGGAAGGGCCACCACAGAACACCACGTAGCCAAAAGCGCTGAACAACATCCCTGATGTTTTCTGCTACAAAAAGCTAACACCAGGTTAGGAAGTCTCAGGTTGCTTAGGAGGTCTGGAACACTTTTTGTGGGAGGATGACTTCAAAACATCTTGCACAGTAACTATGTTTCAGCCTCACAACACCCCTGTGAGGTAGGTATTTTCCTCATCTACTGAAACAAAGACAGAAGCTCACCAATTTGGCTGAGGCAAGAGCCTGTAAGCGGAAGAACCAGAGATCCCAGGAGTCCCAATTCCCAGGCAGCCTGAACAGCTACACCTTTGTTTCCTATCAGAAAGTGCCTTGTGGAGAAGGCAGTATAGTGTTGCTGGTACCACGATGCCTGCCGTCCAGATCAAACGTGCTGCTTTTCTGCGAGGGATGTCAACCGAACACAGGCTTCAATCTGAAATTGTTTTATTTCACACCATGGAAGAGTTCACAAGCATGGAAGAATACTCTGCACTCTGGATCTTTCCGCTGTGCTTCTGAGAGGTGTGGCTTTCCCGACACAGCGATTGGGCTTTCATGCACAGACTTTAAGACTGTGAAACTGAACCGTGCATACCAAACGCGCTCGCAAGCTCCAGCATAAGCCATCTTACTGACATACTGACTGTCAAGCCACCAAAGAGGGCAGCAGACAGTTCTCTGAGGGCTTCTCTCATGGTGACAGAGCTGAGACTTCTGAGCCTTTGCCTCTCCAGGCCCCCACATCTTTCCAAAAGGCAGCAGCTGCAGCCTGCACTGTCTGAGAAGACATACAGATTGTGTGGGCTCCCAGGCTGTTCAACCAGGCAGCAAAAAAAGGCAGCCTTGGCCAGAAATGCCAGGAGTTTGCATTAAGTTTAAGCTAAGTAATCTTGTGGAAGAATCTGCAGCAGTCTACAGAGCAAGTGTGCTCACTTATGCCTGGCCATCACATGAAATTCAGGAGTCTGGACAGCTAATGAGTGTACTGAAAAACCTTCCCTTTCTCTGTTTTTCCACCACCACGCTGCTCCTACACAAAGCGACCGGCACAGAAGATTCAGAATCAGAGATCCTGACAAACATATTTAGGATTCCCTTGTACAACAGGATATTGCCTGGTCTCCAAGAAAGGAGAGAGTGTTTAAACAGGAAGAGACAAGGTTAAAACAACAGATAGGAAAACTCAGAAAAGCAACGTTCTGGGTTCCATCAAACCCAACACATATAAGAAAGTCACAGTTAAGGCTGCCAATCTGCTTTTTAATTCTGCTACCCGTGCCTGGGCATTACTGTATGTTTACTACACGCACACCACTTCTGCTTTCAAGTTTCCTCTCCCAAAGAAGAACAGCTGAAGCAACATCTAATACCCACCTCCTAGGTCTCAGGAGAGCACCCAAGGGAGCACCCCAACTCAGCCAGCTTCTGGCTGTGCTGTTCAGATAGAGAAGGATCATTTCCTTGCAGCACACCTTCAGCCAGACAGACCTCTGCTGACACCACCAGCACAAGCCCCTGCTAAAAAAACCCCAGCAGCTCCAACAGATCCCTTGGGGATGAGAGCTTTACCCGGCATAATACAAACGCAACTACGCAGACTTAAGCAACACATTGCATTTTTAAAAAGCATAAAACAACAATATGCCCCCCTCCCAGTCCTTTAAAATTGGCACCGCAAGTTCTGGAAACATCTGAACCCATAACTTTAAAGAAAAGCCATTTAGGTATGTGAACTGCACTGGCCTGACCAAGCCCATGGCCCTGTCACCGCTTGGTATTTAACGCTCAGCAACTGTTGTTATGCTATCAGAGCCAGACTTTGTCAGTTGTTGCCTAGTGCTAAACATTGCGCCTGCAGTTAAAGGATTGTAATTACTGGCAAATGCTGACTTTTTCCCCATGGTTTTTTGCTGTGCAAGAAACTCCAGGATTCTCCTGCTCCATCGAGCTTCCTATTGCAAGGTGCTAGTGCATCTTTGTTACCAGTCATCATAACAGACGCAGAGCAAAAGGAAATGGACTGTTGCTGGTTAAGGTGTTGCACCTTAGATGTATGCATGTAGATTAAGACCTCGAAAGATGCTTCAGGCCGGTGGTCACCTCCGCTGAAGTTGCTTCAGTGTTTGGAGCATTCATACCACCTTCCCTTCCTGAAATTCTGGTGTGAGATCCACTGGACGTTCAGATAGGCCAAAAGGGCTGGTGTTCCTTTCCTCAAGTGTACAGGACAACATGTAAACATATGACAGTGTCAAAGCAAGGCAGGTTTTTACATTTACCTGCTGGGTTTAAAAAGTGTTCTTTAAAAACTGACCGTCATCTTCCTTGCCAGTTACGTGAACCATTAAATACTTGGCATGTCCTTACCCAAAGCTGGGTTATTAGTGCACTCTCTTGGGGCGCAGAGGGGACAAAGCATTGCACAATAATGTAGAGTCGGGGCATTCCCCTAGAAGTTATTAAGGAGCCAACCTTCGACAGCACAAAATGAAGATGGATGTCTGGATCGAGGAAGAGTGACAAAAACTTAAGGACTGTGAGAAATAGAAGCAGAAGGGAGTAGAACAGAGCTGGCTGGCTGCTAACGGAGCTTCGATCGGCAGCTGCCTCTAGGTGGGTGTTGTTATCTCTCAGGGGTAGCTGCGGCCTCCACAAGATTCCCTAATCCTGTCAAAAAAAGTACAACTGCCTGTCAACAACTATAGCATTTCCCCTCATATCAGGACAAAAGATTGCAGCATGCAGATTAATTGTATGCTTATTCTTCCAGCAGAATTGCACAAGCTAGATAAGATTTTATGTCTGGAACTGTTTCTATCAACTAATCCATCACACAGATGGAGCAGAAAGCCCACCCATGCTCACAGAGTGAAACAATCAACATACAGGAAGGAAGAACAGCAAAACCTGAAAAGCGAGTGTTCGAGGCAATGTGTTAATTTTTAATATTTAAGGTATTAATTTCAAAATTTGAATTGCACTTGCACCCATGCCAAACCTGGAGGATCCAACTAGACAGCACCCTAACTAACGCAGGCAGGCAGCTAATACAGCAGCATTGATTAACCAAACTGCAAGGAGTTTGCCTAACAATTTTGGAAACCTCTGCTATATGAGAAAAATGCTTCATTTAGCAAAGAATTTTTAAGTTCTTCCCTGCAGTATACTCCCAGATTCCCAGTGTTTCACTGTTTTTAACCTGGCAAGTCCAGAGAACTTCCTTTCTCAGCAACGTTACCCTAAGCAATATCTGTTCTTACTTCTGCAATACTAATGCTCCCTCCCTCCAGACTGACTAGAAACTGGCTCTTTTTTTTTTTTTGGCTAAACACAGACATTTGGGATTCAGGATGAATTTTTCCTTTAACAGATAAAAACAGTGGGCCAAACTGAAGTCATCCAGGCAATAACAGGAGAAGCCATGCAACTACTTGGAGGTTTTCCATTTGGACAACAAGGCATCAAAACCTGAGTCTTGCCTGATCATTCCTCATCTTTAACTGTTCACTATTCATTTGTTGTCTCTGAAGAGCACAGTTAAATTAGCCCAGCTCCCTATTAAAAAAAAATAAATAAATACTTTCTCTATTAAAAGAGACAACTAGGAAAAGTAATAAAACTTTATTAAATAAAGTAAAAACCTTAATTTAAAAACAAATATAAAGAATCTTAGTTTTCAGTTTGGAGCAACTAAAATAATTCATGGAGGGAAGGTCCACCACTGGCCAACTGCTTTACATTCTGTAAGGGACCCCTTGCACTCCATCCCTCTGTCCTGATGAACCACCCTATCTTAACTCTGCCAGCACTACCTCGTATTGTCTTTTGCTTGTTTAAAAACAACAGTTGCCATCGGGTCACCTGGAGGAGCTGCGCTCTTTGCTCACACAGTCATCCTGGGAAGTTGTATCACCGTTACCCATCATGCTGCATGTCCTCCTCTTTTTCCTCCGGTGCATCATCCCCTCTGTCTCAGAGCCAGAGTCACACTAAAGTATGAAGAGATGAAACCAGAATTCAGAGAAACCCAGTAAACCATTTCTACTGTGGAATTCACTGTAAGAGCAACCTCAGCAATCCTAAATAATCCATATTCAAAGAACATGCTATTTTAGATTAGATAAATGAAATAAAATTTAAATTAAGTGTTTAAAGAACAGGAACAGGTACGTTCTCAGATTTCATCACTGACTAAGCTGGCTTGGGCCAAGACAATTGATGCATTCATTTTGGGTCCTAGAAGGACCTAGTTTTCCCGAGAGCAGACTCAGTGCCTTCTGAAGCATTTGGGTGCCTAGAAAAGTCCCCTGTCACAGTCTCGGTTTTGGATCTTGTTCCTCCCTCCCCATTTTTAAAACATTCCTTTTGCAGCCATTTTACAGAAGCATGGCTTAGCTAAATGAGCAACAGATTTATATATGATATAAACATAGATCAAACAAACCAACTTAATTTAGCAGTAACAAAGAGAGGCTTCAGCAAACAGACCTGCTAAGACCACAGGCTTCCCCACCACATAAGATTTGTTTAGTTGCTCTCTATTAATTTCTTCCATAAAACATGAATGTAAGGATGAGGACGCATGATCAGGTATGGAAAAAACCAATACACTTGCAGGATATGGATCGCCTACTGCAGTAAAAAGCATTACCTCCGAATCAGAGTCTGAGGAACTGGAGCTTGAGGAACTGGAAGAATCGCTAGAACTATCGGAAGCAATACCGGTAGATTCCTGCAGGTCAACTGAATCAGCCAAGGCTGCCAAGTCAGGATGTTCCTGCTTTAGGATCCTAAATACAGTTGAAATTTCAGGGTTAGCCTTTGAACAGTAACACTGTGTATAAATGACTAGGATATTCTGGGGTTTTGCTTTAAACAGAGAGTAAGAAAAGCAAGCTACTAAATCTCTTACCTGTACCATTTCCGTGACAATTTGGGTCTCCCTCTTACTGTCTTGTGCCACACCACCGGGAAGTTGGTACAGCTGGCAAAGTTTTGCGTGATAGCAATAGTTGTGTCAAGATTGAGGACAACATGCCACCAGCCACCTATAAATACAACACCGATGACGATTTCTGGCCACATAGCAGAAAGTAAGTTCAAGAACAGCCATGTACACTTTCTCCATAGCACAGGTGGAAATTGGACCTTATCTCCCAAACTCAGGTGCGTTTGCCACCACATTGTCTTTCCTCAGTCTTATTTCAGCATTTGCTCCAATGCTTTACAGATTCTTTTTACAGAAGGCTGCTCAACGCTCTGACCAAATTATGCAGCTCATGAACAGCACTGAAGATCTGACCTGACAGCAACACGCTGGCTACGGATGGCTTATTTAATAGCAAGAGCCATTGTAACCCAGACCGCACAGAGATCCTCTCTGTAAAGGTGAAGAGCACTTTCCATGCTGATTTAGTAAGGTTCTTATGACTACAGACTAACCTTTCATTTAAAAATAGATGCGAAATTGTTTCCCCACACAGGATAAAAATAGACAGTGGTGTTCTTACAACCCACTTATAACCTCATAAAAAGACTAAGGAAACAGTTTAATGGAGCCTGACAGCTACAAAATCTTAACAGAAGGTACACTGAGGAGTCACTAATAAGTGCCAAGACAATCACAAGGCACTCTTCAAACATGAAGTCAGCTGTATGTCAGAGACAAGCAATGTGGATAGATGCTATGGGCCATGCTGCACAAAAACAATGCAAGACTTAGAGGTTAGAACTTGCTGCTGAACTCACCTGCTTTGTCCACTAGCCACCTCACCTCCCAGTTAGAATGGGCACACAACATGCAGCCACTCAAAGAGAATGGCATCTTTATCCGATCTTTCTTTAGTTTTTGATTTCAAATGCAAGATGAAGCATAACCAGAGAGGTGGGTGGAAAGTGTCACTGCCTTTAAGTAGTTCTTTTCCCACAGCTGAGAAGAATTCGTGCAGTCAGACTACCCAGGCTGCAGAATTCAGTCATGAATTTGCTATGGTGTATATAAACTCTTTTGTCTAAGAAGTTACCAGTACTCAAACACCTCTATTATTCTATGCCTTGATGGTTTTCTATTACTGCAATTTAGTTCAGGATCACATTCCTGTGATGATGCAACTGAGGTCCCATTTGTTTTGTCATCTGTACCACATACAATCCAATGCTACAGGCCATATGTTTCAGGACATTCAGAAAATAACTGAACAGTCTCAAAGATGGCCTTGCAATGTATAGCCCTTTTGACATAGGTCAGAAAAGTTTCTTTTGTAAGAGGTGGCCCGTATAAGAAAGCTGAAATATTCTCTTTGTCTCTACTATACACAATCAATAAAAATGTGCTTTCCTCTCCCAGAATTCCTTAATGGAGAGATTTGTACATACCTGGCACAAAGACCGTCTCGCCTGGTTTCTGTAAGATTTCCAGGGGTTTGAATTCAGGGGGCCAGGTGGGTAGCTGCGTCCTGGGATAGATGACGTTGAACCAAGTAATAGCCTCATCCTGCTGGTTCCCTCCCTCTTCTCGTGTCACTTTAATCAGCTCTCGGGGTGTGCTGGTAGGGAACAGGCACCAACGCTTATGTCCCTGGACTAAGGCATTCCATGCACTAGTTCCCAAGGGATCGATGTGAATTCCTGTTCCAGAACGAGGTGGGCCCATCACAAACCACCTGCATGGGAGGAAGACATCCTTTAGTCACAGAGCAAGCAAGTAGCTACCTTCTCTTTTCTTTATGTTAGACATAAAATTACAGCTGTTAATTTCACATACAGTTAGAAATCAAAGTAGTTACAGTTCCTTATTTTATCTTCTTGAGACTGTTAGGCTCACATGATAGCAAAAGATACGATGTTTAACCTAAAAACCAACACGAACTGGGACAGGGATGACTCTGGGACAAGGAAGTGAAGATAGCTTTTTAAAACAAAATACAGTTATGGGATATAAACAGTTCTTCAATAAAATATATACTTATTTTAGGGTTTACGAATGTGACTAAGTCATAACAGCCTGTATTAGGATTCTTACTACGCAGGGGGATCCTCCTAACCCTATATTTTCCTAAAATTTGCTACACAAACGGATCCAGAACTGCAGAACAATGAGGAACAAATAAAAGGCAACATAAGTAAAGAACAGAGCAAAGTTACACAACCCTGGCCTCCCTCTATGCCTTCTATTAATTTACAACATGCTTTTTGTTCTAACATTGAACTAGTTGGAGCTTATTCTCCAGTGACCATTCAGGATTTGGTGTGTATATTCTCATTCCCCATTTGCAAGGTTTATTTCTCCCTATGGAGAACTTTATCTGCTACATGTGTTTAACAGCAACAGCACCTTCAATTGCTCATTTCCCCTGTAACAGAACAGTAAGATCTACCACACCAGATAAAGCAGTTTAAGTGAGGTGACTTAGTATCAGACATCAAGAGCGAAAAAAGCAATAATTGTTTATTGGGCAGTGGAGAGGGTAGCAACTGAAGCACCAACAAGACCCCTCCATGGCGTGGCTGACAGGCAGGTGATACCCAGCAAGAGGAGTTCAAAGGTTCAGAAAATTATTGGAAGTCAGCAGGCTCTCCTTCTCCCCTTTCCAATGCAGGTGTAAATTAAGCTGGTTTCCAAGTTACCACTTGCTAGCACCAACTGCAGGCCTCTAAGTTTGGTTATCAAGCCGCGCTCTTCCTACTTCACAAAGGAGCCATAAAAACGTAAATAGGCAGGTGTTTGTCACTTCTATTGTCAATTCACTCTTTAGATTCATATTAGCCTTGGAAAACTAATTAAACCACAAGCAGAAGAAAGCTTTTACTAAGCAGTCAGAAGAAATTAAGCACATAAAGATCTGTCTGGTACATAGACAGACGCACTCCTCAATACCATTTTTCTGACTATAACCTGAATCTACACAGGCAAAAGATTTTAAAAGCCTTATTTAGCAACACTATCATTTACCAGTATCTTCCTCCAGGCATTTAATTTACAATGAACATAACCCAGTTTGCTACAAGACATCAAATTTACCGTTAAAAACTTCACAACCTGTAACTTCAATTTAAAAGCAACCTCCCCCCCAACTAAAATAGTAAATGCCTTCCAAAAATTACTGTCTTTATTTTAAAGAGTAACAACTCCGATAAAGTAAGAACTCATGCTGTTTAGAGTAAGATCTATACACTGTCACACACACCTCCCAATCCAGAGGTGAATCTGTACAGTCCCTATCCTGATGATACAATTAGGGAGCACCATTTCCTGCTGGATTTTCAATTATTCATCCCTGTCTGTACCCAGATAAAACCCCCAACTCCATGAGGCATCAGTGTGCTCTCCTGCACCACTCATCTCTCAAAAAATGATAACAGCCTCAAACCAACCCACATTTTCCAGAATACAAGAATTGTGAGTACCAAGATCACAAGCAAGGAGCTCAGCACATGCCTGTAGGTGGGGAGGGTGTGGGAGAAAGAGATATCAATATATGTGAGTCACAACCAGGTTATCTAGTTTACCTATAGCTTGGATAAATGATTCCCAGCTCTGTAAGTGTATTCAGTTTCTAATACAGACAACACCTAGTGTGCTTTTGCATTTGATCCCAGCATTGTATGTTCTTCTTGGAAGTGAATTATAAAAAGGGTCTGCTACAACACTGTAAAAACACTTACTTCAGTGATCTTAAATAGAATTAGTTTCATGCTTCACTTCTGCAAAAGCACAACTGGACTACACACGTTTGAAAGATTGCAGAGAAAAGAAGAGTACCGTTATTAATTCCTTGTTCTACTTTATTTAAAAAGCCCTGAAACAATTAAAGATCCACATCACAGTCATGTCACTCAAAGTGCAAGGCATTCTCTGACAATTATAATGTGGCTGTAAAGAGTTTAATTACTTGGGAGTGTTCAGCTTAGGCTCATACTGCTATGAAGTGTTATATTAACATAGGTAGAACCCCCTTTTTTATCTAACAGCCCAAGTACAAGGTTGTTGCATTTGATTTCAGGAATGAAGTGTCACACAGAATCACAGAATGGCAAGGGTTGGAAGCGACCTCGGGAGATCATCTAGTCCAACCTCCTGCTAAAGCAGGCTCACCTAGAGCATGTTGCACAGTCATTTCAGTCCTTTTTCAATCAGATGCAAAAATAATGTTGAAAGGACTACATATATGTGAAATATCGTTCTCTCTCAAAATCATCTGAAGGAGAACTAAGAATTAGACTCCACACTTCATACTAATCTAGTTTAAGACCTTGACCTTAAAAGGACTGACTCATAATTAAACAAAATCCTACTACATACAGAAGCCACTGGTGCGAAACCCAGGGACTAGTCCTGAGGTACTTAAAATCTGAAAGCCAGAAGGCACACATAGAAATTAATCTTCATATCTTTCAGTAACTATGTATTTTTTTTTCAAATCTAAGAAGTTAAGTAAACTGACTTAAAAAAATAAAAACCCCATAAACTTGTAGCAACACTGGTGACAGAACCAGAAATTGTGGTACAGAGATCTGCCCTTCCTTCCCCCTGGGTTACAGATGTATGCTCATTTCAAAATAGCAAACGTAAAGCTATCTCTTTGTTTTATATAAGACAATTGTACCTATTTAGGAATAGCTAATGAGATGGAAAATGCCTGCTTTTATCTTGCTGTCACTGTACTATACCTGTAAGGCGGCCTTCGTTTCTCCCCTGCATACTGAAACAGATCATCAGTGAAGAATTTGGGTACTTTGTAGTCCTCCAGGAGTTTCCTGCGCTTGGGATGCTCTCCATAACTGCTGTCAAAGATGTAGAGCGGGCTGTCATCCCGTGTGGTTTCCATGTACTCTATGTAGTATTTCATCTTCATCTTCACAGAATAACCGTCATTGTCCTCCCCACATTTGAATTTCTGGTTCCTATACTTGCGTTTCAGTCGTTCCAGAGTCCACTTCTCTTGGGCAGACCAGCCCACCTGAGCATTCAGCAAGACTACAGGCTTGTAAGGTTTTTCATAACGCTCAACAAATTCCTCCACCGTTAACTGGAGTGCATCTGCCCTCTCCACATTATCCTGTGAAGCCAAAAGAGGAACACAGAACAGGTATTAGGACAGACTTATGTCCTAGAACCGCGCTTTCTAAGTTGGCGCAGAGGGGCTTCACACTCAGACTTTGTTTCGTTCACCACGAGGGTATCAAGCTGCCTACGTGCTATTTTAAGCTCCCCGAGGCTGCAGTCCTACTCCTCACGCCCATCAGTAACGCCAGCAGACTGAAGCCTTTGGCGCTCCTCCCCAGCCAGGTAACTCCCCAGGCGGAGAGGCCACCCCTGCCCTTTCGGCTGACGCATCCCCTGCTGCATTTCGCCGCCCCCAGGACCCCGGGGAAGGCACCTGGGAATCAAGCGGGCGCTTCGAGGGCGCCCGTCCCACCCCGGTGGGGGGGCCCTGACCTCCCCGCAGCCCTCGCCACGTGGAGTGAGGGAAAAAACGCGGGGGCTGCTTTGCTCTCCCCGCCCTAAGGCTCTCCGTCGGGGTTCCCGCCCCGGCACCCTCAGGGAGCTCCCGCCAGCTCTGAGGCAACCCCGGCGCCGAGAAAGGGCCCTTTCCCCATTCCCGGCAGGCCTCCCCCAGCCCCCGCTTTCCCTCAGGCC